TTCCATGCACATCATGCGGCTCATCCATCAGTCAGCCAATTGTGTGTCATGTCCAATCTTACTTTTAACAACTGCAAAAGAGCGAGTCCGTGATAAATGAACCAAGAAGTAGAGATGGACAACTGTATTCTAGAAATGTCTAAATGGCCTTACACCCTCTTATTTCTCTGACCTTCTTGAACCTCATGCTCCTTCTCGAGCACTGAGATCATCTGATCAGCTGCTTTTGGTTGAAGCTCAGAGGAGATCAGGCTTTTTCAGGCATGGTTCCTAAACTTTGAAACAAGCTGCCCTCCACATCAGACAGGCCTCTTCACTTCCTGTTTTTAAATATCTTTTAAAAACCAACAGTTTTCACTGATTTCTTTTTACCCAGTGTGAGTTGTTTTAGTATTTTATTGTTCTTTGTTCTATGTTTATTTTCTTCTGATGCTTTTTAATTCATTTGTTTTATTGTTTTTTTCTTTTAATCTTTGTCTTGTATTATTCAGCATTTTGTTAACAAACTGTTGTTTTAAAATGTGCTCTATGAATAAATTTGACTTGACTTTAATTAAATACGCATAGTTTATGGAAAATACTCAATTACAGCCCACCAAGGCAAGAAGGATGATGGCACACTGCATCAGTCCAGAGTCAGCCAGATGTGAAAATATCACCCTCCAGAAGCACTGTTGCCAAGGCAGCAGCAGTCTCCACGAGTAGCTGATTTTTTCCCATTAATGTACTGTAGGAAATATGTTTTATTGCAGTTTATTGCACTTTTCACCTTCTGGCACATGTTTTGCAAGCTGTACTATATTAGAGGTAAATGACAATATTCTCTCCAATTTATTTATTTATTTTTTTGCTGTACACTTTTCATTTGGTGGAAAGATATTGGCACAGAGGATGTCTTGAATGGTTGGTGACATTCATTGTTCTCCCTGGGCTTCATTAGGTGCCATCTTGCTTGAAGGGGAAACTATATTTACTCTGATTGGGTACATTTGTCATCTCACTTTGTGAGTGTCTGTCACACGTGTCCTCAGTGCGGAGGCGACCTCAACCCCTGTATTCTTTTGGTTTTCACATTTTTATTTAAAGCTTGTTTATTTGAAAGTGGGAGGAGCTACCTTAGATTAATGAAGAGGTGCTTTTAATCATGACTGTTGGAAAATCTTCCATTAAGTAATGGTCTGCAGTTGAGATACACTACGTCCCTTATCAGATTTATCTGATGAATACAGTTTAATCTGTTTGGAAAATCCAAATTTAACCTTTTTGACTTCTCTCTTGCAGAACAGTTCTAGATTATACAAGCCATGTATAGACCCTTGTAGTTTGAAAACGAGTCAAGGCTCGTGTTTTCTTTATTTTTATTTGGAATGACAAAACTCTTTTACTTACATATCCTCTAAATGTCAACTACTGTTTATAACTGAAGGACAAGCAACGGTTGACTTTCCCTACTGTTTATTTCTTTGCTCTTAGAGGAGCAATACTTTATATTTGGTTAACCTTGGGAGGTTGTTTAAATACTGACAATTTCAGCAGCATAAAACAACACTGACAGCAGCAGGAGAATGTGCTTAAGTAATTGAGAAATAGCTCTGTGCAAAAGGAGAGCAGCTAAACAATAGTTTGAAGTATAATTTGACAATCTACATTTTATTTAAAGTTTTGGTTAGATGTCTGGTGCTTTTTGAAGTATTTATTTTACAATAACTTGTGATTATTTAACGGTGTAAAATATATGTTGTTATTAACTTTTTTCTCTGCAGAAACACTAGATATAAAATTTTCTACAGTGATAAATTCAGTGAAACAAATGATCCATTCCTAATGATGTTTTTATTCAGTCTTTGATAGACCTGCAACACAGCTACCCACTTATACCTGCCACAAGCGGCTCGCTCAATGCTTAACAATAAACTGCATGAATGAAGCTGCTACTGTTCGTTTTTAAAGCTTTGAATGGCCTTGCACCACCTTATATTTCAGAACTTTTGAAAGTCCACCAGCCCAGCAGAGCTTTACGGTCTGCTGGTCAAAATCTTCTGGTGGTGCCTCGCTCAAGGTGCAAACACTGGGGGGACCGGTCCTTTTCTGTTACAGGCCCAACAGCCTGGAATACTCTTCCCTATGAGCTGCGTGCCATCTCTGATCTGGCTCTGTTCAAAGCCAAACTGAAAACATACTTATTTAAAAGGGCTTTTAATGTTTAACTATTAGTAGTTTAGTATTTAGTATTTATTTATTTATTTTATCTCTTTTACCTTCTTTTATTCTGGCTGTGTTTTTAATTTGCACTGATTTATTGTGTCCTGTTTTTAATCTTGTTTTATCTTGTAAAGCACCTTGGTCAATGCAAGGCGTTGTTGGAAGGTGCTATAGAAATAAAGTTTATTATTATTAATATTAGCATACCAGCTGATCACATTCCTTAAATGCTCATATTATCCATCAATCCTCTCTTTATCATCTGCAGAAGATGTGAAACACTGGTGCATGACTTTTACCAGGAACAAGAAGGTGTGAGCACATAACCGTAGCGTTAGCCTTACTCCAGAGGATTGATTTTAAGATTTTCTCGTTAGTTTTTGAGATTCTTAATAATCTGACTGCATTTTGTCTCCAGGATCTTTTAAAACAACTGAGGTCAATTGTTTTTAGACGTTCCAAGATCTAACCTTTAGAGTAGAGGTCGTGCTTTGCAGAGGCTTTGTTTCATGAAATAATTGACATTTAAGATCTGCTCAGACCTTGGAAAATCTTGAGGTGCTCTTTAAGACCCACTTTTATTCACTATTTGGCTGAAGTTGACCCTGACAACTTGATGTTATCTGTACTTTGTGAATGATTTTACTTCTTTGTTTTTATCATTTAAGATTTGTAGTTGTATTCTTTTATTATTCTTTGCGTTGACATTTTTTCAGTACAGCACTTTGGTGCAGCCATTGTTGTTTTAAAGTGCCACATAAACTGTCATTAACATACAGTAATCAGCCTGTCAGGATAACAAAGGTTGCTGGGTGATTAATTGTTTCAGAAATTATTGCGAGAAACGATAATATTGTTTGAAATTTAACGATAATTAATTGTCAATTTTTAGAAGAAATGTTGATTTGTTTGGTGTGTAGTACCTTTTTTGACTACCTGATGACAGTATAAGACTCAACAACTTTTTACATGAAAGCACGAGTTTCAACAAGACGGAGGTTTATTCCCGAGGTTGGCCTGTTAGCTTAGCTTCTCAGCTTAGCTGCTTTTAATCGTCCAAAAACGCGATTTTGGACGATTGAAACAGATTTTAAAGAAAAGAGAAAGGGAGGGGTCAGTGAAGAACACCGGAGTTGAGTCTTTTGTCATCCATTGTCTTCAATAGAAAGAGACACGAAGAAACGAAAAAGCTAATAAATATAAATGAGGTAGATAATTTTCATTCATCATGCAATTAATCAATTTATCGTTTATTGCGACTGGCCTATACAGTAAAGGTTATTTTTCTAATGTTATTGAATGTAATTATAAGAGAATATGCGATCATTCTAATACATCCACTCACATATGATGCTGTATAATTACAGTAGTTTGGCTTTCTCTTGATAATCACAGTCTGGCTCAAACCATTATCATCTCAGTTAACTTAATATAGCAACTGTCCACTTCATATTGTAGCTTCTTCTGCACAGATTACCATATTCTTAAATCACAATTAAATGAATGAAGAAAAAATATAGAGTCCCACCCCAACCTATTTTTGGGCTCAAAATCAACATTTCCTATTTGTAAGAACAGAGATGAGTGTTAGGGGATTGATAACTGCTGGATTAAGTATTTAATGCTGCAGTAGCAGTAACTATTCATTTCAGTTTTGTACAAATTGCCTAATCAATTAATCATTAGCTGCCTCTGCTTTCTCACATTTATCAAAGTTTTCAGCTTTCACAGACACTTTCACTTCCCCCACCTTTCACTACCACCACTTCTTTGGCTCTCTGTTCCTCAGAGTCAGTGACTTCCAGAGCTATCGTTGCTCTCATTAAATTGAAACCCTGTATGTCAAGACGCCATGTCAAGATGTCTCCCCAGCCTTGCTTTCTTTGATTTTTTAGTGAACGCACAATTGTTTCCAACAGCTCCGTCAAAAATATATGACTCCAAATATGACCAGTGATATAGGGTCTCTGGAGTATTTTTCAAAAGGTATCTGTAGGAAAGCTTTGGTTTTATAGAACAAAATCAAAATTGTTAGAACTTTAAAACCACGACAGAGATGCAGTTTGTGTCTTTATTAGACCTGCATGAATTTATCCTCAACCAGGCAAACCAGTGATAATCAATGCATCCAGTAATGTTATGTATAGCTGGATTGACAGTCGGTTTCTTGTTCACATACAGCCTTACAGCTTCTGGCTTTTCCAAAAAATCCATTTCATACAGAGGAAGCAGCTTGAGATTTATTGAAGCAATTTTCAGCTAAGGGGAAGTATTGATGCTGCTCTGACTCTGCACCTCACGGTTGTCTGTCTGAGACGATGAAAACAATAGAAAGATAGTGAGCTGATGATACAGGAGGAATCATGTCTGACAGTAAACATGGCTCTAACATCTGCTGCTGGTCGCCCAGCGTTGTCCTTTCGGGCTTTAAGCTGCTGTCAGTCTTTCACCTTTGTAGGGGGTTTATGAGTTTCACAGTCCTCATGCTGACAGGCATCCACCTTTGACAGCTGTTCTCAGGTGACAGTAAACAGTGTTTTATATCAGTAATCTGCTTTTAATTACAATAAAATGATGTACTTTGTTAAAGCTATTAATACAGTGTTATATTTTTCCCATGTTACAGCAATGGAGAATGATATAGTCCAGTTTCATTGTGCACATTCACAATGAAGCAGATATATCAGTTTCTTTTCATCGGCTGTAACATGCAAGAAGCACTGGACCTTATATAAAGAGTTATCATTTTGTCTCTTAGTTTTCTAATCTTTCATTGTGTCCTTATTGTTTGCCTGTAGAGGATGCAGCAGCACAGTCTGATGAGTTGAGTGTGGACCGAAGCTACGTGAAGAAAAAGCTTGAGCACGGACTTACACGGATTTGGCAGGTTTGTAAAGAAGCATTATCTCTGGCTGCCTTTGTGCTTCTAACATTCTTTTATCCAATTTAACTATTTTCTTTCAGGTTTTCACCTCACTTAAAATCCTCATCCCATAAATTACCAATCACCTCTTTGTTTTACTCTGTCCCTTTCCTCAGGATGTCCAGTTAAAAGTAAAGGCGTACATTCTGGGTACGGACATGTCTAACTTCAAATATGATGATTTCATCGTGGTACTGGATGTCATCAGCAGGTACGCCTCGAGATCAGCGCGGCTGACTCATTCTCGTTCCCACTTATTGGTCATTGTCTTGCTGTGGCTGTCTTCTTCTTCTTGTTTCATATTAATCAGGTTGAACAGCAGAACCTTCTCCTAAAGCCTCCTAAAGTCACAATACTCATCTGTTCTGTCACACGTTCACTACACGCACACACATGAAATTAAACGTTTTTCTTTAATAACACAAAAGCTGAAATTATTAAGCTAATTTCACCACAGAATTATTAAATTGACTTTGATTAAAGTCATGCATTGCTGAAAATTAATTTTAAATTAATGGACACCAAATAGAAATGTACTCACCTTCATTTTAGTTTTTCATTTATGATCCAGATCATTGTTGCTCAGCTCATACATGTTTCACAAAGAAGTCTGGTCAGTTTGAAGGGGTCAGTTTTCTGCTTTAAATGGAAAGAATATCATGGTCACAACATTCATGTTCAAGCCTTAAATTTTATGTATGCAAATTAATTGGTTCTGTCATTAAATCCAGATAAATTATTGGTGTTAGTTGATAAAACAATGATAGTGTAACTATCTTCTAAAATATATTTTCACCTACTTTAACTAAAATACAAATGAGTGGTTGTGTTAAAACCATCTTCACTTTGATTCTTTCTTTTTGTATTTATTTAAATTACAAGTTAATAATATTACGCATCAGTAAGCGTGAGCATTAATGTTTCAACAAAAGGCACTGCAAGTTCTATTTTTTTACATAATTTTATAGAAAAAGCTAATGCAAATTACTTTTACACATAGCTTAGAGAAACATTTTTGAAATAATTCAATTATAACACAAAATACAAAAAAAAAGCCTGTTAAAAATAATAAAAGCAGAAGTGATTAATTACACTGTAAATCCAATAAAAAAAATATAATTTATTTGATTTGTACTGTACTTTACATTTTACAATCTCAAAGTGCTACAATATAAAACAACTAGAGAGAATAAAACATAGACTAAAAAACAACAAAAAAAAAAAAAAATTGATTAAAAATATATTTAAACAAGTTAGTTAACCCTGACGAGGAATATTTGAGGAAACTGTTTTGAATTTTAAGGTTTAATAAGTAAAACAGTCAAAATGTCCATTTTAAATGTAGAGAAAAAAACGTCCATCCATCCATCCATCCATCCATCCATCCATCCATCCATCCATCCATTCATCCATTTTCTTCTGCTTATCTGGGGTCGGGTCACGGGGGTAGCAGCCTAAGCAGGGAGGCCCGGACTTCCCTCTCCCCAGCCACTTGGGCCAGCTCTTCCGGGGAAATCCCGAGGTGTTCCCAGGCCAGCCAAGAAACATAGTCCTTCCAGCGTGTCCTGGGTATTCCTCTGGGCCTCCTCCCGGTGGGACGTGTCTGGAACACCTCACCAGGGAGGCGTCCTGGAGGCATCCTAAACTGATGCCCAAGCCACCTCAACTGGCTCCTCTCGACATGGAGAAGCAGCGGCTCTACTCTGAGTCCCTCCCGGATGATCGAGCTTCTCACCCTATCTCTAAGGGAGAGCCCAGACACCCTGCGGAGAAAACTCATTTTGGCCGCTTGTATCCGAGATCTCATTCTTTCGGTCACAGCCCAAAGCTCGTGACCATAGATGAGGGTGGGAACGTAGATCGATAGGTAAATTGAGAGCTTCGCCTTTTGACTCAGCTCTCTCTTCACCATGACAGACCTGTACAGCGCCTGCTTCACTGCAGACGCTGCACCTATCCACCTATCGATCTCACGCTCCATTTTTCCCTCATTCGTGAACAAGACCCCAAGATACGTGAACTCCTCCACTTGGGGTAGGACCTCCTCCCTGACCCGGAGAGGGCACCCTACCCTTTTCCGGCTCAAGACCATAGCCTCGGATTTGGAGGAACTGATCTTCATCCATGTCGCATTCGGCTGCGAACCACTCCAGCGAAAGCTGTAGATCATGATTTTTTGAAGCCAATAAGACCACATCATCTGCAAAAAGCAGAGACACAATCCTAAGGCCACCAAAATGGATCCCCTCAACACCTTGGCTGTGCCTAGAAATTCTGTCCATAAAAGTTATGAACAGAATTGGTGACAAAGGGCAACCTTGGCGGAGTCCAACTCTCACTGGGAACAAGCCCGACTTAGTGCCGGCGATGCGGACCAGGCTCTGACACCAGTCATACAGGGACCTAACAGCCCATATCAAAGGGCCCAGTACCCCATATTCCCAGAGTACCCCCCAAAGGGTTCCCCGAGGGACGCGGTCGAACGCCTTCTCCAAGTCCACAAAGCACATGTAGACCGGTTGGACAAACTCCCACGCACCCTCCAGGACCCTGCTGAGAGTGTAGAGCTGGTCCAGTGTTCCACGGCCAGGACGAAAACCGCACTGCTCCTCCCGAATCTGAGGTTCGACTATCCGACGGACCCTCTTCTACAGAACCCCCGACTAGACCTTACCAGGGAGGCTTAAGAGCATGATTCCCCTGTAGTTGGAACACACTCTACGGTCCCCCTTTTTGAATAGGGGGACCACCACCCCAGTCTACCAATCCAGGGGAACTTCCCCCGATGTCCACGCAATATTGCAGAGTCGCGTAAGCCAACACAACCCTACAACATCCAGAGCCTTAAGAATCTCTGGGCGAATCTTATCCACCCCTGGGGCCCTGCCACCGAGGAGCTTTTTAACCACCTCGGTGACCTCAGCACCAGAGATTGGAGGGCCCGACCCAGAGTCCCCAGGCTCTGCTTCCTCAGTGGAAGACGTGCCGGTGGGATTGAGGAGGTCTTCAAAGTATTCTGCCCACCAACCCACAACATCCCGAGTTGAGGTCAGCAACACACCACTCCCACTATAAACAGTGTTGGTGGTATACCACTTTCCCCCCCTGAGATGCCAGATGGTGGACCAGAATCGCCTCGAAGCTGTGCAGAAGTCATTCTCCATGGCCTCTCCGAACTCCTCCCATGCCCGAGTTTTTGCCTCAGCGACCACCCGAGCCGCATGTCGCTTGGACTGCCGGTACCCATCAGCTGCTTTTGGGATCCCAGAGGCCAAAAAGGCCCGATAGGGCTCCTTCAGCCTGACAGCATCCCTCACTGCCGGTGTCCACCATCGGGTTCGAGGGTTGCAGCGGAAACAGGCACCGACAACCTTCCGGCCGCAGCTCCGGTAAGCCACCTCGACAATAGAGGCATGGAACATGGTCCACTCAGACTCAATGTCCCCCACCTCCGCCGGAACATGTTCGAAGTTCTCCCGGAGGTGGGAGTTAAAACTCTGTCTCACAGGAGACTTTGCCAGACATTCCCAGCAAACCCTCACAATACGTTTGGGTCTGCTAGGTCTGACCGGCATCCTCCCCCACCATCGGAGCCAACGTACTACCAGGTAGTGATCAGTGGACAGCTCCGCCCCTCTCTTCACCCGAGTGTCCAAGACATGTGGCCGCAGATCAGATGAGACAATGACAAAGTCGATCATCGAACTGCGACCTACGGTGTCCTGGTGCCAAGAAAACATATAGACACCCTTATGCTTGAACAAGGTGTTCGTTATTGACAATCCATGACGAGCACAGAAGTCCAACAACAGAACACCACTCTGGTTCAGATCAGGGGGGCCGTTCCTCCCAACCACACCCCTCCAAGTCTCACTGTCATTGCCCACATGAGCATTGAAGTCCCCCAGCAGAACAAGGGAGTCCCCAGGAGGTGCACTTTCCAGTACCCCTTCCAAGGACTCCAAAAAGGGTAGATAATCTGAACTGCCGTTTGGTGCATAAGCACAAACGACAGTCAGAACCCGTCCCCCCACACGTAGGCGGAGGGAGGCCACCCTCTCATTCACCGGGGTTAACCCCAACACACAGGCACCAAGTTGGGGGACAATAAGTATGCCCACTCCTGCTCTGTGCCTCTCACCAGGGGCAAATCCAGAGTGGAAGAGTGTCCAGCCCTTCTCAAGGAAACTGGTTCCAGAGCCAGAGCCATGCATAGAGGTGAGTCCGACTATTTCTAGCCGGAACCTCTCAGCCTCACACACCATCTCAGGCTCCTTCCCCACCAGTGAGGCGACATTCCACGTCCCAATAGCCAGTTTCTGTAGCGGAGGATCAGACCGCCAAGGTCCCCGCCCTCGGCCACCACCCATCCCACATTGCATCCTACCCCTTTGGCCCCTCCCACAGGTGGTGAGCCCATGGGAAGGAGAAAAAAAAAGAGAAAAAACATATAAGTTGTAAAAGTTCACTTTAATGACTGTATATTTCAAGTCCGTTCACATGAAGGTGGAAGTCAAAGCTGTTATTGGACCAACGGTCCCTGTCGGCTGGTTCCAGCACAAGTTTTATTTTAACTCCCGTCTCCTTCATGCAAATAAACGTGACTTTGCTGTCGTTAAACAAATGAAACACACCTTGGATAAGCTTGTGTTGACTTTTAACCTTACTGCTGTGTGGCCATTCATTTTTCTAACAAGTTTAAGCTTTAGTTGTTTCATGCATAAGAGAAAGTTTATGTAACGCTGTGATTGTGTGGTGGGGAGTAGGCGTGACTTAAAGCCCAGCATTGCTAATGAACTAGTGCTGATTCCAAAAATACAACATGGCAGCTTCTGTAAAACTACAAAAACAATAAGGGAAGGTGGAGACATATGGTCTATCAGTGTCTCTGGTTCACAAAATAAATAAAAAAATCTCAGTTTTGTATTGAGTCATTTTACGTATATTGGTAAATAAAGTATATATGTAATATGATCAATATTTTGAGTATAGTAGTCCCTCGCTTCTTCGCGGTTCATTTATCGCGGACTCACTCTAGCACAGTTTTTTCAAAATAAGACTGGACATGACACACAATTGGCTGATTGGTGGATGAGCTGCATGATCGGCATGAAATTTGTATTTAAAATAAATTATTTTAAATTATTGAGCACCTTTTGTACATTTGTGCAGCCCTAATTGCAGGATAAACTTCCTGCTGCAGCTGATCAGCTGTTCTCCATTCAGAGCTGAGAAGTGGGCGTGGCCAAGAGAGCTCGAAAGTGGGAAAGAGCAGAGGAGGCAGAGAGCTGAAATCATGACATTCTGTGCTCTTTTAGAGCGTTTAGAAACATTGTTTAGAAAAAGTTAAAAGTTACCTAAACTTATAATTTAGTCATTGTTGATATGCAATATGTCTCATTTGTCATTAATGTTGTTATTTTATTTTGTAAGGGCACTTCCTGTTCTGAGAGTATATAACGCGAGAGCTTAATAAAAGGCAATGTTTATGATCCAGGAAGCTGATGACTGACGTGTGTTTATTCCTCCATCATTATAATAAGTATCTTTGGTATTCATGTGGATTGTGCTGGAAGAAAAATCTCTGCTAACATTTTAATACGCCTTTTGAAAGACAGACATATGGTTTAGTCTTCATTCGTACATCTGCATGTCCATAAACTTTCTCTTGTCCCGCCCTGTTATATCAGTCAGGCTGTTCTTTCTGTAGATGCAGATTTTCTTCCCACTCCAGCAGTATCGGTCTCTTGCCTGATAGGTCACATTTATAAAGACAAGAACGTTTTCACCGTAACTATCGTAAACACTGTCCGTACATCAGACTAACACAGCAGTAAAACTAACCAGGGTTTGCGTCTACGAGCTTGTTTTTGATAATATACTGCTCTCCCACTGTCATGTTCACGTTCAGGTTGATGCAGGTTGGTGAGGAGTTCTGTGGCAGTAAGTCAGAAGTCCTGCAGGAGTCCATCAAACGCCAGAGTGTTAACTACTTTAAGAACTATCACAGGTGAGAAGGGCCAGTTGCCTTTTTGGTTCATGTGAAAAATACAGCTGATTTTGTTACAGTTGGCTGCTAGACAATAAAAGCAACACATTGGAGTCTGCTTTTCATTGAAACAATAAACATTACATAAATGTCTTGTACATGCTGTCTTTACTATATAACACCCTGACAACCTTAAAACTAAGTTTACTGTACATTCTTTTTCACAATCAGCTCTTTTAAGAGAGAAAATCATGAAAAAGAGAGAGAAAACGAGAATAGACATAATGGGATTCAACACAAAGTTTGAGATGAGATGGAGGTGATCTTGGTGTGAAATTGCACCAGTAACTGGAAAAGCGAGTCAGATGTGATGGACCCCAAGAGCAAGAAAAAGAATGAGGAGGAGCAGTAGAGCAGCAGCATCGGGGCCTGATATCTGCACTGCACCTGAGGCGGCTTCCAATACTCTGTTCAGTATGCATTAAATTTAAACACTTAATATGGATATTAAAAATGTGCTGTCTACTTTGGAAAAGACAACATGTCTAAAACTTAAGTCATGACATAATGCTAATCTGTTCACTTTTTTGGTGGATTTTAAGCTGTTGTAAAATTTTGCATAGAGATAAGCAGTAACAGTGTTGGTTAATACATTAGATTTACAAAAGTAAAAAAAAAAAAAGCATGTTAGTGGAATTTAAACATGCAGCACTAATGCAATCTATGTATTCAGTTTTATAGTCCTTTAACTACACATTTGGACTTACATGGCATCGATCTGGGAGTGCTGAATCCTTTCTTTTCACAGCCTTGCTTGTGTTTTTTTTAGATTTTCAAGAATTCAAGTTTCTTAATTGTCATTCGCATCACATGTGGTACATGAGGTGGAACGAAATTGTGTACACAGGGTCCCAGTTACATCCAACAAAAGTATAAAATGTTGAAGAAAAACAGTAATAAGATCTAAGATATGAACTAAGAAAAATGTTAACTAAAAATACACTAAGCACTAGTAGCACAAAAACAATACACCGAACAGCAGCACGAACATGAGTCTGTGTGAGCAGATGAGTACGAATGAACACAACAACATGAAACAGATCAGCAGCAACATGAAACAGATCAGCAGCAACATTGAAACAGATCAGCAGCAGCATGATGTGATTTTTCACAGTGATTATTCTGATTAGAGATTCATGAGTCTAACAGCCTCAGGGTAGAAGCTGTTCCTCAGTCTAGTGGTTCTACACTTAATGCTCCTTAACATCCCTCCTGAGGGCAGCGGGGAAAAAAGTGTGTGTGCTGGGTGAGTGGGGTCCTTCATGATGCCCTCTCAGTGGCCCTCTTTCTGCATCTGGAGGTGTAGATGTCTGTGATGGTGGGGAGGCTGACTCCAACAGATTTCTGTGCAGCCTTCACCACTCTCTGCAAAGCTTTTCTTTCTGCAGCTGTGCAGCCTCCATGCCACACGTTGATGCTGGAGCACAGGATGCTCTCCACTGGATTGTCTGTTTTTATAGTCGAATCCATACATGTCAGGGTAATTGATCCTTCTAAGTAGGAGTTAGTGAAAGTGTTTGCAGTTGTTTACTCTTCTGTATCTGATTAATATTACTGTAAACAGGGTAAAGTGAGGGCAGAACTAGTATTGGTGGATGAATTAATAAATGAGTGAACTTCATTAATTCCATCCACTGACAAACGTATTCTTCAGGGTAATATTCAGTATGAAAATATTTGCTGAAGTCAGTCCCATCCCTTACCTTATCTCAGTCTTTGCTTCTGTATTATATCACTTCTCATATTTCAAACACCTTTACAACAAGAAAAAGCAGTGCTGCAGTGTTTGAAGCCAGCACTGCCTTGACATTTCACACCAAAAGACTTGATATTAACCTGACGGGTGAGCGGCAGAGTGCTGTGTTGATGTGTGGACAAATCGAAGCAAGTCACAAGACACGCCTCTTTTCCAGCTGGGCATGAGTAACCTTTGCTGAATTTGTTTGTTTGTGTATTTATTCAGTGGCCTTCACAACTCCTTTCTTTGTGCCCATTTCTTTCTATTTTCTCTTCTTTGCACATCCCCTAAAGAGCACGGCTGGAGGAGTTGAGGATGTTTCTGGAAAATGAGACGTGGGAGCTGTGTCCAGTCAAGTCTAACTTTAATATCGCCCAGCTCCATGTAAGTAAGAAACACATCACTGGGTTGAAAAGGTGAAGTGAAGTAGGTTTTCCCCCACACTTCAGTACTCGCAAACTTTAAGGTTGTGAAATTTACATAGGGGTATGAAGCTTGGTACATTCAGCTCAGTGGTGTTTGTGTGTGTGCACGTGTGTGATCACTGCACATTATGTAACATAGATGAACATTAAACGACTGTTGTCTGCTTCTAATATGTACACTGTGAGATAAAATTTTCCACACGCTTGGGCAACATTTGAAATGGAACCTTTAGAATATAGCAGCTTTATTTGTGTTTTCCTAAGTGTTGAGCTAAAGTTTCATGTCTATACTATAATCAGCCTAAAAACTGATAATCTGGTCAATATGTTAAGCTCATTCTGTATCAAAACTAAAGTTAATATTAGGGGGAAAATCACTTGATTTTAATACTTATTTTTTTTAGATTTTATCCCTGTTTTGCTCTGGAATACACTGCAAAAACTAAACAGTTAAATTAGCCTTCAAACAGTCTATTGAATGCAGATTTTTCTGAACAGCGCAATTAATCTGCAAGGTGGTTTTCTTACAGAAGTCCACCGTGTCTTTATTATTTTCTGCTTTCATTGTTTTCAACCCTGTTTTCTTCTCATCTCTTGGCACCTGTCTGCCTCCTGTATCTCAATATCCCATCCTCTCCATCCCAGGAGTTCAAGTTCATGGGGCAGTGTCGCTCTCCATCCATTTCCCCTAGCAGACAGTCTGTGTCCTCGTCCGTCCCGCCCCAGGAGGAGCTGTCCCTATTCCAGCTCTTCCTTCAGGATGGAAACCCATTTGAAGTGCATATTGATCAAAAGGAGGAGGAGACCGAGGATGTGCTCGCATCTAATGGCGTGAGTGTTGAGAACTAACTTGATTTTGAGTTTCAAAAAGTGTGATTATTAAGAGTATTAGTACAAGCACAGTTGTATTAACTTTTATTTTTTCATATCCATTTACAGTAAAAAAATTAAAGGTAATTAAAAAAAGTCATTTGTTCCCTCTGCGGTGAATGTACTTAACAAGGTTCTATTTAAACGCAGCCTCACATAACAAACCACTGTCTGCTGAGATGTTTTCATATTCTAATGTATTGTGTATTTTAGAATGGTTTTAACTGAATGTTTTAAATTGATTTAGCAACGTTTGGTTTTAAGTTTTTTAGAGTTTTTAATTACATTTTTATTTTGTTTTATAAGCCATATGTCAAAGACAAATCTCCATTTCATTGAATGTTATGGACAATAAAGTTGAATTGATTGATTGATTGATTGATTGATTGATTAATAGAGAAATGGACGCATGTGATGTCCTCACTCAAATTTCACCAAAGTTTGGTGCTGGTTGCTGGGACACTGAGAGGAAGTAGATATTTTCCTGCGTGCAATTTCATTGTATGTGTCAGTGTGTCAGATGAAAACCATTACATTTACTGATGAGGGGGAAGAAGACTTGAGCTGCAGCTAAAGTGGCATGGGTTTATAATATATGTGGATCTAAAAGCTACATTCAGACAATGAACTCCTGCAGATTGACTTCACTGCGACAGCATGATGAGCTGAACCACAAACTAAAAAAAAAAATTAAAATACAAACCGGATTCCAAAAAAGTTGGGACACTAAACAAATTGTGAATAAAAACTGAATGCAATGATGTGGAGATGGCAAATGTCAATATTTTATACGTAATATAACATAGAAGACAGAAGAAAAGTTTAATCTGAGTAAATGTAACATTTTAAAGGAAAAATATGTTGATTCAAAATTTCACAGTGTCAACAAATCCCAAAAAAGTTGGGACAAGTAGCAATAAGTGGCTGGAAAAAGGAAATTGAGCATATAACGAACAGCTAGACCAATTAACACTAATTAGGTCAATTGACAACATGATTGGGTATAAAAAGAACTTCTCAGAGTGTCAGTGTCTCTCAGAAGCCAAGATGGTAAGAGGATCACCAATTCCACCATTGTTGCGCAGAAAGATAGTGCAGCATACCAGAATGGTGTTACCCAGCGTAAAATAGCAAAGACTTTTAAGTTATCATCATCAACCGTGCATAACATCATCAAAAGATTAAGAGAATCTGGAACAATCGCTGTGCGTAAGGGTCAAGGCCGTAAAACTCTACTGGATGCTCGTGATCTCCGGGCCCTTAAACATCACTGCACCTCAAACAGGAATGCCACTGTCAAGGAAATAACAGAATGGGCTCAGGAATACTTCCAAGAAAGCATTGTCAGTGAACACAATCCACCGTGCCATCTGCCGTTGCCAGCTGAAACTCTACAGTGCAAAGAGGAAGCCATTTCTAAGCAAGCTCCACAAGCTCAGACGTTTGCACTGGGCCAGGGGTCATTTAAAATGGAGTGTGGCAAAATGTAAGACTGTTCTGTGGTCAGATGAGTCACGATTTGAAGTTCTTTATGGAACACTGGGACGCCATGTCATCCGGACTTGAGAGGACAAGGATAGCCCAAGTTGTTATCAACGCTCCGTTCAGAAGCCTGCATCACTGATGGTATGGGGTTGCATGAACGCTCGTGGCATGGACAGCTTGCATGTCTGGAAAGGCACCATTAATGCAGAGAACTATGTTCAGGTTCTAGAACAACATATGCTCCCATCTAGACGTCATCTCTTTCAGGGAAGACCCTGCATTTTTCAACACGATAATGCCAGACCACATTCTGCAGCAATCACAACATCATGGCTACGTAGGAGAAGGATCCGGGTACTGAAATGGCCAACCTGCAGTCCAGATCTTTCACCTATAGAGAACATTTGGCGCATCATAAAGAGGAAGGTGCGACAAAGAAGGCTCAAGACGATTGAACAGTTAGAGGCCTGTATTAGACATGAATGGGAGAGCATTCCTATTTCTAAACTTGAGAAACTGGTCTCCTCTGTCCCCAGACGTCTGTTGAGTGTTGTAAGAAGAAGGGGGGGTGACACACAGTGGTAAAAATGGACTTGTCCCAACTTTTTTGGGATTTGTTGACGCCATGAAATTTGGAAACAACAGATTTTTCCTTTAAAATGATACATTCTCTCAGTTTAAACTTTTGATCTGTGATTTGTGTTCTATTCTGAATAAAATATTAGATGTTGGCACCTCTACATAATTGCATTCAGTTTTTATTCACAATTTGTTTAGTGTCCCAACTTTTTTGGAATTCGGTTTGTAAAACTGGTACTTATTTATTCTGACATTGTGCAACACATTAAAAGAAATGGGTTTGGAAACTGAAGTTTTGCGTCTTCCTCTAACAACTCTGTCAGGATTTGGTGGACAGGAACGAACCCAGTAGTGCAGACAGGACTCAGCTCGGCAGATTACAAAAATAAGTATTTTAATAGAGAATAAAGAACAAAATAACAGCTGACGTGGCAGCAAAACTTACATATAAATGGAAGGCTCAGAGGGAAACTCAGGGAGGACTCAGGAGAGCTCAGGGGAGACGCAGGAGAACGCAGGAGAACACAGAGACCCAACGAATACGACCCGACGAGGAACAAAACAGAACAGATGGCTTAAATACATGGACAAGACGAGACGTGATTACAAACAGCTGTGACGAGACAAAGGTGGCACCAATTAAACTGACGAGGAAACACTAGGGAAACACAGACACAAACAGAACCAGCAAATGGTACCATCCTTACAGTACCCCCCCTCAAGGACGCCTCCAGGTGTCCCCAAAAAAAACCCCTCCCGAAGGACCTGGGCGGGTGGAGGGCGGCACTGCAAGGGTGGAGGGCCAGAGGAAACACAAGGAAGAACACAAGGACCTGAAAGAACTAAGGCAAGACACAAGTAGGAAAAACACAAAAGATCTGAACGGTCAAGAGACCGTCCCTGGAGTCATTGTTCAGGAGGACGGCCGGGAGGCCGTCCATCACGGGACCCACGTTCAGGAGGGCGGCCGGGAGGCCGTCCATCACGGGACCCACGTTCAGGAGGGCGGCCGGGAGGCCGTCCATCACGGGACCCACGTTCAGGGGGGCGGCCGGGAGGCTGTCCAACTCGTAGGACCTTGGAGACCGCGGCAGGCGGCGATGACGACTTGGAGACCACGGCAGGCGGCGATGACGACTTGGAGACCGCGGCAGGCGGCGATGACGACTTGGAGACCGCGGCAGGCGGCGATGACGGCAAGGAGGCTGCGGCAGGCGGCGATGACGGCGAGGAGGCCCCGGCAGGCGGCGAAGAGGACGAGGAGGCCGCGGCTGGCGGCGAGGAGACCGAGGAGGCCGCGGCTGGCAGCGAGGAGACCGAGGAGGCCGCGTCAGATGGCGAGGAGACCGAGGAGGCCGCGTCTGGCGGCGAAGAGGCCTTGGGAGCCGCGTCTGGCGGCGAAGAGGCCTTGGGAGCCTCGTATGGCGGCGAAGAGGCCTTAGGAGCCTCGTCTGGCGGCGAAGAGGCCTTGGGAGCCGCGTCTGGCGGCGAAGAG